TTATAAATTTTTGTAAATTACACTGTGTCTGACCGATAATACTTCACTCAAGAGTGTATTACCGGTCGGACATAGTGTAGTTTGTAAACAAAAAGTTTGTAAATATAACCTTCCCCTTAATATTGATGTCAAACAAAAAATTTGATACTTTATCTGAGAGCCGTTATATTAAGATAGATCAATAGACATTCGATCAAGTGTCAAACTTTGTAGTGTTAAATGATTATACCCTATATGTGTGAGTGTCTGTGTGTGTGTGTTGGGGGGTACTATATTTTTACACTAGTATAAAAATAAGAAGTTTTACATCAAATTTTGATCATTGATTTGCTTGTATCTAACAGTTCAAATATTTAGTAAATCAAAGTATTAGATATAAATATGATTCATGATCAAGATGAAAAGTATAACTTATACTAGTGTAAAATGATCTTATATATATATATATATATATATATATATATATATAGAGTTATGTTTATCTCATTTTACATGAGATAAACAACTCTCCTACACACACACACAAAAATGGGTTGGGTCCCACCACTCTTTTTTCTCTTTCATATTACTCGTGGGTCCTACTTATACTTTTATTTCTACAACATGAAGTAATTTTTTTCTACAACATAAGAAAAATATATCTCATATATATAAGAATCCTTTGACACTATATATATATATATATATATATATATATATATATATATATATATATATATATATAGTGTCAAAGGATTCTTATATATATGGGAAATATTTTTCTTATTTATTGGAGATAAGTTATCTTATGTTAGTGAGACAAAATTATAAAAGGGACCCCCACAAATAATTGGAGAGAAAAAAATAGAGGCGAGACCCATTTTTGTTATGTGTACGTAGGAATTTGATTTATCTTATGTTAAATGAGATAAATATAATCTATATATATATATATATATATATATATATATATATATATGGCAGTATCCTTTGACACCGGTGTCAAACTTTGAAATTTGACATCAAATTCTATCAGTTGATTTCCGCCAATCAATGGTTATTATTTATTGGGAATCAAATTTATTAATTAATATTAATTTCCAATAAATGATAACCGTTGATTGACAGAAATCAACGGATAGAATTTGTTGTCAAATTTTAAAGTTTGACACCGGTGTCAAGGGATCTTTCCCTATATATATATATATATATATATATATATATATATATATAATATATATATATATATATATATATATATATATATATATATATATATATATATATATATATATATATATATATATATATATATATATATATATATATATATATATATATATATATATATATATATATATATATATATATATATATATATATATATATATATATATATATATATATATATATATATATATATATATATATATATATATATATATATATATATATATATATATATATATATATATATATATATATATATATATATATATATATATATATATATATATATATATATATATATATATATATATATATATATATATATATATATATATATATATATATATATATATATATATATATATATATATATATATATATATATATATATATATATATATATATATATATATATATATATATATATATATATATATATATATATATATATATATATATATATATATATATATATATATATATATATATATATATATATATATATATATATATATATATATATATATATATATATATATATATATATATATATATATATATATATATATATATATATATATATATATATATATATATATATATATATATATATATATATATATATATATATATATATATATATATATATATATATATATATATATATATATATATATATATATATATATATATATATGAGGTAGGATCCTTTGACACCGGTGTCAAATTTCAATTTTGACACCTCATCTGAGAGCCGTTAAATCAAAAAAGATCAATGGTGTCACATGCTTGTAAATCAGAGTCGTTAATATTTTTTTATATAAACGCTCTCAGATGAGGTGTCAAAGGATCCTACCTCTCTCTCTCTATATATATATATATATATATATATATATATATATATGGCTTATCATTTCTCAAGCTGCTTGAGATAATCTTATCTCCGGCTAGTAAATCATAACCGTACAAAGATGGATCAATGGTGATAAAGAAAGAGAGAGAGAAAAAAGAAGCATAACATTCAAAAGTGAATCAATTAATATAAGGAAATAAATAAATAAAACGATGTAGTTTTGGGGTTGCCGGAGATAAACTTATCTCAAGCTGCTTGAGAAATATTTTTCCCATATATATATATATTTATATATAGGGGTTTACATTTCTGCAGCTACTGTATGCGTAGCAATCAAATACTTGCCATATATATACTTGAAAGCATTAAATGCGGGGAATCATAACCATACAAAAGATGAAAGCATTAAATGAGGGAAATCATAACCATACATCTGTCGTTACTGTACACAAAGTGGCTGCAGAAATAATTTTACCATATATATATATATATATATATATAGGGAGAAGTGTTTGTCCTTTTAAATGACACAACTTATATCCTTTCACTCTCACAGAGATGTGGGACCCACACCTTTATTTTTTTTTATCCACTCTCTCTCCTCTTTTATCTATCTCTTTCTCTCACTTAAAATGACACAACTTTACATCCTTTAAAATGATACACACTTTTCCCATATATATAACACTTAAATTTGGTAGCTGCATTTCTTTTCAGTAAAGGGTTCTATTTAAAGGATAGCTAAAATTATTTATTTCTTCGAAATTTCATTGGTTCGATATGTATGTGCTTGGGGTGGTTCACCTATGTATACAAAAGCTTTAAGCCAAATTGCAAAGCTTTCTTTATCTTGGGCTTACCCTAGTTTTGGACAGACATGGCATGCTATATAGAAAGAATGTTAATGTACTTCAAGAAATTAAAAATTGAAAAGACAAAAAAAATAAAAATCTCTAAAGTTAAGGTGGGAAAACCTGGATTGACTGTAGAATTTGTTATGGCTTTAAGGAAGAGGTTCCTAATTAATAAAATAAAAATATATTAAAAACACAAATAAAAGGAAGAAAACAAATGATGTTTGTTTCATCAATCACTTATACTATATCTATGAAGAGAGAGGCGGCGACAAACAAAATCTTTCCTTGTTTCACCCACGTCTTCTTCCTACTAACTAGCTTTCACGTGTCCTTACTAAACCTTAGCGTTCAGCTAAACATTGTCTTTAAATTGTGGGCCACATACATGCATTATCCCCAAGTTAAGAACTGAATTCAAATTTCAAATACCATATATCTTAATAAAATAAGTATGCATGTAGCTTGAGTGATTTTCATCAATATATTAGTTTGAAATATGTCATTTGAGTGTAAAAACGACAAACGAAAGTTTAAATCAAATTAATAAGTACATGCAATAATCATCTTTTAATATGTTGATAAATATAATGTCTTATGAAATACATGGACCACACTACAAGAGCAATTGACCAGTTAACCCACTCTCATTCATGGGCCAAGCAGGTAATGATTGTCTTAATCACCCAATTAAATATTGATGTCATATATTTACAAAATAAATAATAAAATATTGATGTCATGTTTCATAACTTCTTTGCAAGAAAAAATAGTAACATCTTCAATCTTATGTACTTGGTAATCAACACAGTGTTTTGGTACTACAAAACTGTATTATTATTATTGCCGAGCCTGATTAGCTTTCTTCTGAATCAATTTTGGAAGCAAATTCAAAGGGTAATTGTCATATACAGAAAGGAGAATAATGACAAGGAGGTGCAGTGGGACTGGGAGTGGGATCTAACCCTCACAAAGATTAAAGTGGTAGCAAACTAATTATAACAAAACTTTAATTAGTAAGTCAAGGATATGAAAAAACACTATTATTCATGATCTAACCCTCACAAAGATTCCCACTGAATGCATTTTTGGGGAGGGGGCTGAACCTTTAGCCATCACTGTTCCCCCGCACTCCGAATTAGTCTCATAGCCGGCTCAAAGAGTCGAAGCTCGTGGGGATACCGGAGGGAGCCAACTCGTCTCAAAGAGATAGTTAGGGTTGGGTAACTCCAAAAAAAGAAAGTGAAAAAAAAAAGACTCACTATTTTAACTACCGGACGTGACTTAATTAACAAAATAACTTCTTAAACAGATTTTATTTATGATGTAAAAACCACGCACATCTCACCTAAAAGCTGAAGCTAATAAGGAAAGATTCATTAATAATTTTTTATATTCCTCTAGCACATTTTATTACATAAGAGTTCTTTGAATTTGAAATGTGAATATTGCGCAGACTTTTTTTTTTTTTCTTCCTATTTTGTGCTGACTTAATTTTACCAGAAAATAAAAGTGATAAGGATCCAACTCTAAATCTTATGATCGTGTAGGCTCTAATACTATAATACACAATTATATCACCTAAGAACTTAACCTAATAAGTGAAGCTTCGTCAATAATTTTTTTATATTTTACTAACAAACCCAGAACTGTGTAACCTTGGCCAAGCAAATGCAGAAGTGGGTATTAGTCACTTGTGATTTTTGAAGAAGAAAAAAAAACAGTATTTTTTTGGAAGAAAGCAGAAAGTAAAATCTATTGGAGGCAAAAATAAAGTTGGACTATCAATTGGAGCATCGCTTTCATCTTATACATTTATGTGTGGGTGTGTATTTTTTGGTGTAGATTTGATCTTATATTTAGGAATAATGTTCCAGCATGACTTGATGCTTTTGGGCCTTTCAGATTAGTTGCATAGACTTGAGATACCATTAACTATCAAATCATCCATAAATTCATACATGGGCTCAAATTGAACATGGCTCAAATTAGAGCAAAAATCATCTTTACCCAACCCCAATTAAAATTTCAACTCAATTTTTTAAAATCTCAACTTCTCGAGGGTATATATTGCCCTGGCTATGCTATTTTACATTGATACATTGTTTATGGCTTTGTGGGAATTTACATACAAAATCAAACTCACGCAACACACAAACCAACGCCAAGGAGGATAAAAACACTGGCACTGGACCCACCATCCATAGCATCATAGGAAGAGCAATTATGAACACCCTATTGCCAATAAGAGCTAATGTGAACCCTCTTTCTAATATACTTTGTGTATAATCCCCAGACAAGAAGTCCCCATAAGCATTCATTAGAAAATTGGCATCAATCAGAAATCCTATGGCCATAGAACTGCATAAGAAGCTAATCACCAAGCAAACTGATGCAGAGCCATACTTCAAAACAAAGACTTTATCTGACTTTGAGCCAAAAAATTCACTGCTAAAGAGATAATGGCTTGCATTGTAGGAGTTGTTGGTTAGAGCTGCCAAAGCTATGTTAACAAGAATGGTTATTGAAGCTGTGAATATGGTGGCCATAAGAGTGTTCCTCATGCTTTGCACAATCAGCATAGCCTTCTTATCATCACCCTGCACCGTTAACAAGCCAAATCTAAGGAACATTGAAGCTCCTATTACCCAATTCAATGAGAGAGCAAATTTTATTTTTGTAAAATGGGACCAAATTGTAACATATATTACTTTTTAAAAATTATCTAAGGTAAAAGTATTTTTGTCTTTGCGGCAGAAAGATTTATCTACCACAGACATATTTTTACGAGGATCCGACGTCGGATCCTGGTGAATTGTATCTGTGACAGATAATTTTTTTGCCAAAGTTGCAGAAAAATGGAACCTTATCGAACTATATTAAAAAATAAAAATATTATCTAACTATATAAAAAAATAAAAATATATATAAATTAAGGCAGGATCTTTTAACTCTAGTATAAAATTAAAAGGTCTTATTTTCCATTTCAGCCGTTTGTTTACGTTCATTTGACGGCTATAATTTATTGAATTATATATATCAAATAATTATTAATTTCAAATAAATTATAACCATCAAATGAACAAAAATCAACCGCTAAAATAAAAAATAAAACTTTTTAATCTTATCTTGAAGACAAAAAAACCTCATATAAATTTAGAAGGGACAATCATTATCTATACGCTCACAATTAAAGGTTTTTAATACTAGTGTCTAGCTCCCTCCACCACTAACCCAATTCATGAATAAGCATGTATATGCAACTAATCACACACAATGGCTACCTGATTTAAGTTGAGACCCCAAGCTGTCCTCCTTAGCTTATTGATTCCATAACTTGTATGTGAAGGTTTGTTCTTGATGGTGTGACAGAGATAGGCATGGTAACCTAGCGTAATGAAAAGACTCAAAGGGATCAATATGGTATCCATATAAACAGGCACTTCCATCTTTCTCAGTGATGAAGCAATAAATAAGAAGATTTGGCCTTAGGGGTTGGTTTGGTAACCCTGAATAAAATGAGGTGCCTTTTTATATTGGGCTCTTCTCTCAGATCGAGAATGCCATGGAAAGCAGAATGGTATATAAGAAAATGAATAATGCATTATGAGATAATTTTTAATTATAGTTATTGCCACTGCTCCTCTCTATAGTGGGAATGATATAATGGACACTAAACTTGAGTCCGTGGGGTTTGAGTCATACGGAATTCATGTATATATATACTATATGCATGCTACCTAATATGCCACAAAAGTCAAATTGAAAGCAGGGACTTAGTGACCTAATTAAATATTCACTAGCCATGGTGTTTGATTAAAAGGTGTTAGAATATACAAGCAATACATATGCGTCACAACAGGAAGGGAACAGATTATAGCATATGCTATATACACAACTTTTTTTTATATCAACGAATGACGAAAAAATAAACGATAAATAACATATGTTTTAAGATGTAAAAATATTTATTTATCATAAAATACGTGGTTATTTCATATTTGCATGTTGTTCATTGATATAAATTTAATGTACAACAAGGGTGCATATACCTTCATTTTGGATTTGATTATGGGAGAAGGTTTTTGGTGATTTCCCTGGTTCAAGTAAGCTTAACGTTTTTTTTGAAGAATCTAGAGATGGTTTTATAACTGTTGTATGCTATCCTTAAGGATAGGGCAAATTCAGAATTTTAAACGCGGAGTTTAGACAAAAGATTAAATAAATATCTTGTACAATATATATATATATATATATATATATATATATATATATATATAAGGGGTGATTCTTTTGAAATATATATATATATATATATATATATATATATATATATATATATATATATATATCTCTTTCTCTCTCTCTCTCTCTATATATATATATATATATATATATATATATATATATATATAAGGGGTGATTCTTTTGACATACTCTCCAGTCTCCACCTCAGCTGTTGATGGACGAAAATCAACGGTCGTCATTTGTAGTATAATTAATAATTAATTATTAATATGACTTCCTAAACTATAACCGTTAGATGAGCAAAAATCAACGGTTAAGATGAAGACTTGTAAGTCTTACTCTGAAGTCAATATATATATATATATATATATATATATATATATATATATATATATATATAGGGCTTATTGTTTCTCAAGTTACTTGAGATAACTTTATCTCCGGCTACTAAATTATAACCATAAAGAAGGATCGATGGTGATAAAAAAAGAGAGAGAAAAAGGGAATCATATAACCATTCAAAGGTGAATCAATTAATATAATAAAATAAATAAACAAAAAGACGTAATTTTTGGATGGATGGAGATAAATATATCTCAAGCTGCTTGCGAAATATTTTTCTCATATATATATAGGGTCTATCGGATGTCCAATAATTGTACATAAGATTTGTTAGGAATGTGGCTTCCATACTCAAGAGGGGGGGTGAATTGAGTATTACAAGATTTTCGCAAAAGCCCCCTTCTAGTTTCTAAAAAATCATTTCAAGCAAACTTTGATATGTAGAAAGCTAATCAATATATTCAGACAATCCATAATATATAATATATCACAATTATAGAACTTATACTAGCACATACAAGATATCAGAGAAGCAATTAAAGTGCTAAAAATAAAGAGTTTAGAGTTTAGAGAATTGTAAACACAATATATCCTGGTTCGGTCACCACCACTTGTGACCTACGTCCAGACTGAAGCCGCTCGATCAACTCTTTCACTAGTGGTCAAGCTTCACGGGTGCTTGACAAACCTTTACAATCTTCCAAAATTTCGGGTTCTTGGATACCTTACAATCTCCAAGTTTACGGGTACTTGGTAACCTTACAATTCACTCCAAATTTAGTTAGGTATTTGACCACCTCTCAAACAATGGGTCTCACAACCATTTCAACTCAAGAATACAAGGAGGAAAATATTTAGAAATGAATGTACACTCTCAAAGTGTGGATATACAACTTGAAGCACTATGTATGAGTATATGAATTTTCAAGATATGAGCTCAAATATGTTTGATCTTTGAAAGATATGAAAGAATATGCAAGTGATAGTGTATAAGCTCTCAAAGTATGCTTAACATGTGTAGAAATGATGTCCAATGTTTTTTAGTCATTGGGAATGCATATATAGTATTTTCATTGAAAACTAGCCGTTTATAGCCGTTGGGATCTCATTTGAAAAACTAGCCGTTTTATAGCTGTTTATAGCCGTTGGGATCATTTTTGAAAAATTATCCGTTTTATAGCCGTTGGGATCTGTTGCAGTGGTAATCGATTCCCAACTTGACAACAAGAACACTGTTTCGTATTTTGGCCATAATTTGAGTTATACTTGTCGGATTGATGTGATCTTAGTCTCGTTGGAAAGATAAAAGAGAGATCTATAACTTTTATGAAGAACGCAAGATCCAAATCCATCATATTAGATACGAAAAATTGAATGGAAGGAAGCAGTGAAATTAAGCAATAACTTTTAAGTTCAAATGTGTTCTAGCTTGCTTCCAACTACTTTTTGTGAAAGATCTTGACTTGATAAATATGTTTTGAAGTTATAAAATATGTCAAGGATCTTTTCCATGAATTTTTCAAATTTCTTTCAAGTATATAAACGTTATGATTATGCAATTTGGAAAACACATTTACTTTGAGAAAAACTTTGAGCTCATGCAATGCAATCTATCATATACCCTCACATATACTTTAAGTCTTTAAGATATATTCTAAATATGATTTTAGACTTAGCTTCATGTCTTGTGTCTTGGATCTTTTCTTGAACTTGATGCTTTGACTTGTTGAATATGACAATGCTTGACACTTTGTTGGTTTTGATCATTTTTCACCATGGTTATGATATTGAGCTTCTCTTAGATGTTGTCTATAGTTTGTTGTCTTTGATCTTGGTGTTGCTCTTCTAATTATTCCTTGTTGCTTTTGATCCAATGATCTTGCCACTTTGATATGACATTACTCTTCTTGTGTGGTTGCATCATACATCTTCAATATCCACATATGGTTGATGCTTTTTGCTCTTGATCAATGCTCTTCTTTTTTTATTGTTGCCATTTTGTTATCATCAAAGCATATCTTGTATCTACAAGATTGTGTCTAGTCACCCCTTATAACTATCTACTCTCAGGAGTACATAGTTATAATATTAAAGTTGTTTTTTCTTTTCTTTTTCTCTCCACGTCAGCCGACAAGATTTTGAAAAGTTTGTGAAGAGAGAAAAAAAATCAACTTTAATATTATAATTATCTATTCTTCAGGTTACATAGTTATAAGAGGGTGACTGGACAAAACCTTATATACAGTCACATGACAAACAATATTGCCACATATATATATATAGAGGGATCTACCAATTTTTTTTTTCATTTTTACCTTGCCTACCACTCTCCAACGCTGTTTGATCAGAATTTCAACTAACCTTTATCATTTCTTTCTACTCTTGAGATTCTGATCTAACGGTATTGGAGAGTGGTAGGCAAGATATGCATGAAAAAAGATAGGTAAAATAACCTATATATATATATATATAGGGATTTACATTTCTGCAGCTGCTGTACATGCATCAATTAAATACTTGCCATATATATACGTGAAGGCATTAAATGCGGGGAATCATAACCATGCAAAAGATAAAAATATTAAATGTGGAGAATCATAACCATACACCTGTCATTGTTGTACGTAAAATGGCTGTAGAAATGATTTTATCATATATATATATATATATAGCGTAGGATATTTTCTTACGTCGGTGTAAGACTAAGAAGTCTTATACTAAATCTAAATCATTGATTTTATTGCATTTAATGACTCAAATATCTAATAAATCAGAACCGTTAGATATAAATAGGATCAACGATCAGGATTGAGAATGTAATTTACACTGGCGTAAAATGATCCCGGCCCTATATATATAATTACATGAGATAACAAAATTTTAACTATTGCACAATAAAACAAATTTGATTCATATTCAGTAGCTATGTAGCAACGATACCGACACGGGACACGTGACACGATATGACACGACACTCCGACATGTTAATTCTAAAAAATGTTAGATTTCGACACGTTAGGACACGTTTTGATATTAAATAATATTTTTAATTTAATATTCAATAATTCAACAAAAAAATGAATCTAAACTTATAATATTCATAATTTTTGCAAAAAAAATAAGATATCCCAAATATTTATATTAAACTCAATAAAATAATAATCGTAATCTAACGAATCTAATAGTTGGAACTAAAAACTCAACGCAACACAACCTTTGAACCTTTTTTTAAATTTCTATAACGCGTGTTGGAGTGTCGGGGAGTGTCGAAGTGTCCGAGAGTGTCGGAAAGTGTCGGACACGACACGTCAGGATTTTTGAAGTATCGATGCTTCATAGTTCAGTACCATATTATAAATTATAAACACTTAATTGTTAATAGAGTCAAATATAAAATAATTATAGATACAAAACTCCATTTTTTTAGATATATGAGTTGATTTTTCCCTTACCCAACTGATTCAGTTTGAGTACTATCGGATCAATTATAGAAGGTAACTCTCCCATTGCCTCCCTTTTCAATAATTACTTTTTCATTTAAGTAAAAACAAATAACAATTTACCAATAAAATCATCGTTTAAGTGATAATTCATTTTAATTAGTAGTCGAGTTTGAATCCCGTAAATGAAAAAAATGCTCTTGAAAAAGTTGCCTCCTATATAAATCCGACAAACCAGACTTTTTTATTAATTAATAAACAGAAAAATATTTCTGCAGTTACTACAGATAAATTATCTGCATTTACTCTCAAAACGACATTATTTTGGGATTGAAATATTAAGAAATTATAATTATAAAGATTCTAATAACCTGACATAAATTAAAAATATAAAAATACTATAATGTTCGTCTCAAAAT